AGGGGGGCAGGTGTGGGGGTGTATCCTTTGGTTGTTTGATGATGCATTCAGATGACTGTAATTATTGCAATAAAACAAAATACGATAGGATGAACGTAAAGATTATGTTCTCCCACGTAAACTATCACATAATTCAAAAGTAAAAACGTTAAAAAAAAAAAAAAGGAAAATGGAAAAATTAGTTGCTATACACCAAAAAGAAATAAGCAGTATTCAACCATTTCAATAGGTTGCATATGATCAAGAACTGAAGGAAAAATCCAAGCTGCACTGAGGCATTTATAGAATACAAGGCTCTAGGAATTGATGGAATACCAGGTGAAACGTTTCAACAAACAGACACAAAACTGGAAGTGATCATTTGTCTACGCCAAGAAATTTGGAAGACAATTACTTGACAAAACGATTGGAAGAGCCCATTCCAAAGAAAGGTAAAGCAACAGAATGCTGACATTAATGATCAACATCATTAATATAACATACATGTAAATTATGGTGAAGGTAATTCAAAACTGATTGCAGCAGTACAACAGAGAACTGCAGGAAATTCAAGCCAGATTTGGAAGGGAACATGGAACAAGGGATCCCACTGCTGACATGAACTGAATCTAGCTGAAAGAATACATACAAGATGTCTAGCTATGTTCCTTTGATTATGAAAAGGCATTCAACTATGTGGACCATGAAAAATGATGGATAACTTTGAGAAGAATGGGAAATCCAGAACACATAACTGTGCTCATGTGGAACCTGTAAATAGACCAAAGAGGCAGTGGTTCGAAGAGAACAAGGACATATTGAATGGTTTACAATCAGGAAAGGTGTGTCTCAGTCAGAGCTGTATTCTTACACCTTATTTATTCAACCTGTATGCAGAGCAAATTATCCAAGAAGCTGGACTATGTGAAGAACAACACTGTAACAAAATTGGAAGAAGAGCCATTAACCACCTGAGATAGGCAGATGACACACTCTTGCTTGCTGAAAGCAACAAGGGCTTTAAGTACTTAAGCGGACCATCAAAGACCTCAACAAAAGGGGAAAAAAATCCAACTGAACCAATAAACAAAATCACGATGTTGTTATCTGCCGAATCAGTTCCGACTCATACAGGGTTTGGTGGTGGTGGTGGTGTGCCGTGGAGTTGGTTCTGACTCATAGCAACCCTGTACAGAGTTTCCAAGGCTATAAATCTTTACGGGAGCAGAAAGCCTCTTCTTTCTCGCAGAACTGCTGGTAGTTTTGAACTGCTGACCTTAAGGTTCGCAGCCCAATTCATAACCACTACGCTACAAAGCTGTAAATCTTGTAGAAGCTGAAAGCCTTATCTTTTTCCTGTGGAGTGGCTGGTGGGCTCAAACTGCTGACCTTGTTCACAGTCTAGTACTTATTCTACAAAGCCACCATGCTCCCAACAACATGATACATGGAGAAAAGACTGAAGATGTCAAAGATTTCATTTTACTTGGATTCACAATCAATGTATCCAGAATACATAAAGCACTCTTAACAACAAAGACTAACAACCCAATAAAAAAAATGGGCAAACTTGATAGGCATTTCAGCAAAGAACAAATACAAATGGCCACCAACCACATGAAAAGACTGTCAACATCACTGTCATTGTTGGTGCTCTTGTTCGGTGCTTTCAAGTCAGCTCTGACCATAGTTACCCTATGCCCAACAGAAGACAACACTACCCTGTCCTGTGCCATCCTTACAATTGTGGTTACGTTTCAGCCCATTGTTGCTACCACTGTGTCAATCCATCTCACTGGGATCTTCCTTTTTCTCTGACCCTTCACTTTACCAAGCATGATGTCCTCGTCCTCCTCCAGGGAATGAGCCCTCCGGACAACATGTTCAAAACAGTAGAGGCAAAGTCTCACCATCCTCCCTTCCAAGGAGCATTCTAGCTGTACTTCTTCCAAAACAAATTTGTTTGTTCTTCTGGCATTCCATGGTACTTTCAATATTCTTCACCAACACCAGAATTCAAATGCACGGCTTCTTCTTTGCTCTTCCTTATTCACTGTTCAACTTTTACAGGCAATTGAAAATAACATAGCTTAGGTCAGGCTCACCTTAATCCTCAAGCTGACACCTTTGCTCTTGAACACTTAAGTATAGTAAAATGATGAATCAATATCAAATTGCTATGTTGTTTTTATTGTTAAGTGCCCTCCAATCGATTCCCACTCACAATGACCCTGTACAGGGTTTCCCAGGAGCTACTGATGCATCTGTGGTTAGCAATCCAGTGCTTGTCGTATAGTGTCAAACCAAGACTCCCAACAATTCCACTACTGGTTATACACCCAAGAAAAAGAAAATATATATTCATCCAAAGATTTACACATGAACTCTTACAGTAGCATTATTCCTAACAGCCAAAAAGCAGAAAAGAAAAAGAAAAAAAAAAACCCACTAAAAAGGAACTGTGCTATAGGGACCTCAAAAAACATTATGCTAAGTGAAAGATGACCAACCAAAGGACCGTATATGATTGTTTCTATTAAAATGTTGAGAAAAGGCCAATCTACAGAGACAGAAAGCGGATTTCTATATTGTGATTAGCACAACGGTTGCCTGGCATTGAGGGTAGGAACAGGGAGTGACTAGAAATGGACATGACACATCTTCTTAAAATGATGGAAATGCTCTATAATTGGATTGTGGTAAAAAATGAACAACTCTTAAATGTAGTAAACACTACTGAATATTTAAAACAAGCGAATTAACTGTATACAAATTATAATACAATCAAGTTGTTAAAAAAAATTTTTAAATATTATAATAAAAAAGTTTAAATGCCAAACATAAAAGACCACATATTATCTGATTCCATTTATGTAAAATGTCTGACAAGCAAATTTTATAGTCACAGAAAGTAGATGAGTGGTTGACTAGGGCTAGTTGTGAGAAAAGGAATTAACTAAAATGTAAATAGGTACAAGAAATTTCACTGGAGTGGTAAAAAAAACTCCAAAACTGAATTATCATCTTGGTTGCATAGCACAGTAAGTATATTAAAAATAAATGAATTTTATACTTAAAATGGGTGAGCTTTATGGTATTTAATCATACTTCAATATTTTTTTTTTTTAATAATCTGGTCAAATTACATTGGTGTTCTTGTTAGCCTTTCACAAATGATGGACCACTTTGTGAATATGATGAAAAACTAACCTATCCCAGAGGACAAACAGACTTCCATATGCCCTCTCACACTATCAGTTTGTGGACATCGAATTAATTTATCACTAAATCTCTTCAGTCCTTGCAACTCTGAAATTCTATACTATCTGACCAATGAAGGTATTAAGAATAATACAGATGTATACCGTATCAAAAGAAAAATTTATCTTCTAAAACAAAAATAAGAACCTCCTTTCTTTACTTTAACTTCTTTACTCTTCATTTTGGAACCTTCCACTTAGTCTCTTTAATGTGTGCCTCTGAATGAAAGACCATAAAACAATCAATCAAGACAATGCCAGTCTATGTCAAAGACTTAGCATGCAGAATGAACACCGGCCCACAAAGTGGCTTCAGGAAAAGAAAAGGAAGTCTTTCAGGGAAATCTTAACACAGATTCGTTTTAAAACAAGGCACAAGACTGGAGAAAAAAAAACGAAAAAAGAAATTTGATAAAATGTCTCCAAGACACTGACACACTGCTATTGCAATACAGTCCTGAAGCAGCTAGGTAGTCTTCTGCCAATCTTTATTATAAAATTAATTTAAATTTTAGCACAGGATGGTGAACTAGCAAAGTAGCAATTCTTCCTCCAATACACAGGGGTCTGCATACACCAGATGGAATGAGCCTCCGTTTAGCTAAACCCCATCCCCTTTTGATTTTTAAGGTCACTGGGTTACTCCTGTTCCACAAATACTCCTCTATTGCTCAGGTACCCCTCCATCGCTGTAACTCTCTGAGAATCACACTCAAGTTCTGGGCTCTGCCCCTTCACACTTGCAGCAGTCAGCTCTATCAGATCGTGTAACGCTCCTGCTCGAAACTCTCCAATGACTCTTGGAATAAAATTCCAAAAACCTTCCCAAGCCTGAGATGACCCCTAAGATCTGGCCCCATCCTTGCCTTTGTACCCTTCTTGTTGTTAAGTGTCATCAAGTGGGCTGGGACTCATAGTGACCTTGTACTGGATTTCCAAGGAATGGCTGGTGAGCTTGAACCACCGACCTTGCTGTTCAAACCAACCTTGCAGTCCAGCGCATTAACACCCAGGGCCACACCATCCTAAAATATGTCAAGCTCTTCCCCCTCCTCAGGGCCTTTGCCTTTTCTCAGTAGGTAACTCTGCCCTAGGCTTCTAAGGCTCATTCCTCAACCATCAGGACTCAATATAACAACGGCCATCGCCTCCAAAAATTATTTTCTTGGTAGCGCCCTAACCAGCCTCCAGGTGGTTCTCTGTCTAAACATTTTGTTGATTTCCTTCCTTTTTAGCACCTGCTAAAAGCAGTCATCTTTTATTTGTTCACTTACTTAAAGCCGACTTCCGCGACTAGAAAGTCAGTCTCAAGTAGTCAGAAGTTGTGGCTACGCTGCAGAGGATTCCCAGCTCCACCCCAACAATACCGGGTACTCAGTGTGAGGCCCTCAAGAAATGCAGAAATGAACTCAAGCATTCTCTCCCCTAATTCCACAAATAGATCACTGTGCCCACAACTCCAATATCCCACTTCTCACGACCCGAAACATCTGCAATTTTCTTTCTCTGTAAGACACATCTGTCTCTCTTGTTCAAACATGTCACCATACAAATCTCTCCAGAGCCCCTCAAGCCCAACCCCACGCCGTCTGACATAAACGTCCCTTAACCCCTTATCTCCTTTTCACACGCGCCCTGGCCCCAAAAGCGCCCACAAATTCCTGAGTCTTGCGCTGCGCGAGCTCCCGCGACTCCCTACGTTCCCGCGTGTCACTCGCCGCCGAGTGTGGCGCCTCCCCCCTCATCGGCGCCCGCTCTCACCGATCACCTCCTGCAGCTCGTAATCGTCCCTGTTGATAGACCAGGGCAGGGCGCTCGACTCCTCGGACATGACTGCGGCAGCGGCTCTCAGTCTTCTCTTAAACTCGCTGACCTCTCGTCTCCTCGCCGCGCCTCTCCCCACCCCCAACCGCCGCCGCTGCTGCCGCCGCGCCCCCACCAACTACCTCGGAAACAGCTACGGGTCGGACGGAGCCCGGTAGCGGGGTCACAGCGCGGCAGAGCGGCGGCGGCTCGACGGTCCGGTGGACCTCGTCTCTTGATCCTCTGCGTCCGGCACTACACACCCCGACCTTAGTCCTGGCCTCGGCCTCAACAGCAGCAACGACAGGAGGTTCGCTCGGGGCCAACCCCTCCGTCCCGCCCTCTAACCGAGCCCCACGCACGGGCCAAACTTTCCCTTCTCCCTCCACCTGCCGGCACGCAGCGCGCTGACGTCATCGCGCCGGGCACGCCCCGCCTTGGCCCGGCTCTAGCCGCCATCTTAAGTGTGTCTGGATACGCACCGAGTGAGCAAGAAACCCGCTCAAGAAGGTGGAATTTTACCGTGAAAGGTGAAACTCTCAAGAACGAGTTAGTATATAATATTGGAAGCTCAATAAAGCACCAAACTTAGCACAGAGGCAGAAGCCACATTAAACATGGAGACCAAAGAACGACCAAGTGGAGGGGGAGGAGCCATCTTTAGTGGCTGGGGCACGTTGCCGTCTCCATTGTCGTATTCATTGGTTCATTTGAGAAGGAATCAGAAAGGTAATGGGTTCGTGTGAATATCAGTCATAAATTAGTCCCGCCTTCAGGCTCTGCTTGCTTTTCTGGTACGCTGTTCTTCTTATCCTGGTCATCTAATGGTACTACTGCGTACCAGTCACACGGCTCAATACGTGTAAACGGCTCCACAGGGTGTGGAGAAGCCCGAGGGAGCAGCAGGGTGGAGTAGCCTTGGGGTGTGGACAGCTGCCAACTAGGATAAAAGGCCTTGAGCGACAGGATAGAGTGGAATCGGAGCCTTGCCTCTTGACAGTTTTTTTTAAGGTGGAAGTTCTCTGTGTAGCACCCAAATCTGCGCTCTAATTTGGCGTATTGGGTTCTGAAGGCGTTCTGTCCATTCTCAGCTTTGGGCGTGGAACTCAAATGAGCACCCACCTTGTGGGCCATAAAACGTTTTTACTTTACTTATTTTATTTTGATTAATACAAGTGAGATTAGACCCACTCTAGTTTGAGTTGTTTCAAGAGCCATAACATTTGTGTGAACTCAATGTGCTTAAATTTGGTCAGGCTGACCACCTAGGGCCATTGGAGAAGTGACTGATCTGAAGACACCTGTGAACATACTTAGTAAAATGGGAGAAAGAAAGCAACTACGTGGGTATAATAGCTAGGTAAGGAATTTCTCAGTTGAGCATTTTTCAGACCAATTACCCTTAGCCATGGAGTCATTCCAACTTATAATAGTGGTGGTGATATGGTGATGATGATGTGCCATTGAATCAGTTCCAACTCATAGCGACCCTGTATAAGATTTCCTAGGCTGCAAATCTTACCCCAACAGAAAGCCTAATCTTTCTCCAGAAGAGGGCTAGTGGATTTGAACTATTGACGCTAAAAGAGCTTACAACGATAGTCATTATAGATAAGACCTTAAGGAGACCCTGCCAGGCTCAGGAGGACTGTGCTGAACTCTGCTGTAGGAAGCCCACCAACCACAAGGAACTAAAGCAGTTACCGGGCTGGGGGCTGTCAGAGTGGAGCTGTTGATAAGTTTCTACCTGGTTAATGGAATTAAAGAATGGTTTCCTGGAGATAGTGGCTTGTCCCAGGTTTGCAAAGTAAATACGATTTTTTAGAGAATAGACCATTCGGCAAGCATAACATAAGCCTTACTGTAGATACTGGTTTCAACCATTGCTACTAAGGTTGTCTTTATAGCACTTGCTGCCTTTTTCATTTTGTAGCAGTGAGGGTTGGAGGTCAAATATATCAGGAGCTAAATTGCATGGTACGGGTTATAGATATCAAGGTCCAGAAACCAGAAATAACCTGTGGTTATTGGGGCTTCTGTGTGGACAATTTCGAAGGGAACGAGATTTATTTTTAAATTTCTATTTCCCTTGATATTATATGCATAGTGAGATATGTTTCAGGGAGAAATTTTGGGCAACTTCCCCCTTTCTCCTTTTTCTCAGAAATATTGCTGTTCTTAAGTGCCATTGACTAATAGTAGCCCTGTATAGGGTTTCCCGTAGAGCAGACCTTTCCGAAGAGCAGACCTTTGGTTTGCAGTCCAGTTCTCATTCTACACCACACCAAGAGCCTCAGGGATAGTGGTAATAGTTAAGGTGTCAAGTGACCCACATTCGTGGGGGTCAGGGGTCACTCTAACGACTTGTTCACCCATTCTTTGTCTCTTCTGCCTCTTCAATGCAAATAACTTTATGGATTGTTGTTGTGAAGTGCAGTCGAGTCAGTTCCGACCCATAGCGACCCTGTTTAGAGTTTCTGAGGAGCAGCTGGTGAGCCTGAACCGCTGATCTTGCAGTTCAAATGGCTTTGCAGTCTGGCGCATTAACCCATTGCGCCACACCAGGACTCCAAGAGCAAAGAAAATCAAGTTACCATATCTATAGAGCAGATTTAGTTAAGTCAAAATCTGCTTTGTAGATCTGGTAACTTGATTTTCTCTGCTTTTGGAATTTCTGCATGCCACCTTATAGAGGTTAATGTTCCATGATTTAAACAAACAAGAAATTGGTGATTGTTTAGAGGCCACAGCTTCAACTTCAACTTCGTTATAGAGTACCTTCTGTGAGAGAACTATTCTAAACACTGGGTTTACAGACTTAATTCCTGGTTTCACAAAATAGAGTCCACAAGTAAGCAAATAATTATAAATTGCAAAGTATCATGCAGGAAAAACTAGGATATTGTGATAGACAATAGTTAGAAGTATGGAGAATGAGAAGGAACCAGTCTTGCAAAATATTATGAATAGGGTAAGAGGAATTTTAGGCACTTTTGTAATTATTTTAAAGTTGTTGTTATTGTTAGGTTCCGATTCATAGCGACCCTGTACAGGGTTTCCGAGGCTGTAAATCTTTACGGGAGCAGAAAGCCTCATCTTTCTCCTGCGGAACAGCTAGTAGTTTCAAACTGCTTACCTTGCGGTTCCCAGCCCAATTCGTAACCACTACGCTACCAGAGCTCCTTTATTTTAAAGTAGTACTTTCATTCTTGTTAGACAACCGATCCCTCAGTATTCCTATGGAGGATGAGAGGAAATGGGAACTGTCTTAGGCTGAGTTTGCTAGGGAATTAAAACCAGTGAAACATATACATTCATACATACATACATACATATGAATGTGTGTATGTGTGTATATATGTTGTTGTTATATGCTGTGGAGTTGGTTCAGACTCATAGCGACCCTGTACAGGGTTTCCGAGGCTATAAATCTTTATGGGAGTAGAAAGCCTCATCTTTCTCCCACGGAACAGCTGGTAGTTTCGAACTGCTGACCCTAAGGTTTGCAGCCTGAGTCATAACCACTATGCTACCAGAGGTCTCTCTCTCTCT